ACTATGAGATAAATCTATCTCAGAAAAACGGTTCTATCGAACTTTAAACCAGGCTGAAGTGCAAACGGCATAATAGAACTAGTTCTGCAAAGCTTTGAAATTATATAATACAAGCAAATGCTCGATTTATGTTTTCATAGACCAAAGGCAGAGATTGGTTCAGATTTTAAAAAAGTAGAGCTTGATTGAAGAGCCAACAGTTCCAAGACTAGATCAAGTTCAGTACTAGAATCAAATAAAGATGGCTTTGTTTGCCTCAAGTGTATATATACTATATATGCCATATATATACATATATACTATATCTATAATTGATCAAGGCGACAAGTTAACAGACATAGAATACAAATCAAATAAGCAACTTTGTTGTAGGGAAAAATATTGAAATTGAGTTAATTATACGGGCAATTTTCAATGGATTTCATAATAGATCGCATTGGGAAGATCAATGGATAGCATTAGCACAGCTGTTTAGTATCGGGTCAAAAAAAATGTGAAAAATGTGAAAAATAAGGCCAGCAACTGAATAAGTCAATTATAATGAATCAACTAACCGGAAATACAGAGTGAGAAGGCGGCAAATAGCGAGAGAGAATATCCATCCATACAAATTATAATTTATATAGTTATATCACATATATATGTATATATTTGTGTACATACATGTCGAAGATGCGTTGCGTTTTCTAATAATCAGATCAGAAAACAATTTTTGTATTCTATGCAAATGAGCGAGGAAATGGGCATTTGACTCGATGTTTGTCGATGTTTGGGTGTTGAAAATCTGAATTAAGTATCAAGATGTAGTATATGTATATGTACATATGTATATATTTATTTATTCATTGCCATGTTGCTGTTTCTATATAAGGCAGAGGGCATGCTATCCTCATATTGGATTTCCTTTTTCTCTGTCTCTCTCTCTCTCTATCTTACTATAACTCTGCTATAAACTCTGATCCTCTCTCTCTCTATCTTACCATAACTCTGCTATAAACTCTGATCCTCTCTTCCTCCATCTCTTTCTATCTTTTATTCTTTCTATATCAACATTAGTCACTTCCTTTCTCTTTCTCTCTCCATTGCATGTACTTCCTTAAACTAAATTCTAACTTCTATCTAATATCTCTTTCTCTATAATAGTTTTAGTTTCTATATGAAAATTCGTTCATTATATAATGTCGATTTTCTGCTATTAAAATAGAATTGACATCTATAAAATAATTGGATTAGTAGTAATGGGGTTTTCCCCCCAGATGTGTTACCTAAATACAGTTAGTAGATGGCTATTAAATAAGTCCCCAGCTAGTGAATCGTAATACTTTCCCAGAAAATCAGTTCAGTTATTTTGCTTTTGCATATTCAAGAAACCAGTTTATAGAGACACTGCTGGAAAATGTTGAACTATATATAAAAATAATACTCTGGTGATGCAGCATATAAAGGTTTTCACTATCTATCTACTATCTATAATTATTAGTGTTTATATGTATATAGAAAGAATATGCGTGTGTGTGTGTGTATGTGTGCGTTCTCCCCAAACTAATCTGATAATCGCATTCATATAGAGCCATACGTTGTGCTAATCCCATTGAAAATGGCTTTGAAGCATTGTTAAATATTTTCGTCAGGTGGCACTTGCCACAGTTCTCAAACATAGATAGAAAAATAAATACATTTACAACTAGATAACTGTGCATATGTGTGTGTGTGTGTGTGTGTGTGCATATCCGCCAGTGGGCAGCGCGATTCGAAACCGTGAAAATATGCAGATAACTAATATTAACTTTTTGTTTGAATGCATGAATGAAGCGTGGCTCCATGTGTGTGTGTGTGTGTGTGTGTAAAAGTTGAGCTTCGTTAGATGAATGAATTGAATGGAAAATTCAATCTATGTATGTGTGTGTGTGTGTTAGCCAGAGCAATAATTGAGTCTACAGCTATGCATCTGGCCATAATAAAAGGCCCGCAGTTGGCAGCGGGGGCCAAAATAAAAAAAGTGGCATGAAAAAGTTCCACTGGCCGTGGTCAAAATGCGATCCATAAAAGCCGCACGCACACTCCCCCGGCTAGAAGCATGCTACTCTGTATACATAAAATTTATATACATATATATATATATATATATTGGCAGTCTAAGCCAGGTAGGCGGGCCACGGTCGAGTGGAAATGTGGGGAAAATGGCTGAAAATTGAAGTCGGGTCAGTTGGCCGAATCTCTTGGCCAACTTTGCATATGTGGGCAGCTGAACGAGTGAAGTTCATATACATATATACATATATATATTTATTTTTTTTTTGGGCTGCGACGACGACTGGGCCAATCCGATTGGAACAGGGCCAACAGCGAGCAGCTGAAAGTCAAAGTTGTGCGAGATTATAGTTTTAAGATACCCTGGAGGTGCATAGGCCTGCATGAAAGGGGGGATTAGTTGTTGAGCTGAGCCAGGATGGGCATACATATACATATAGAGAGTTGTGTATTATATGAAGTAAGCAGTCAGAGAGAATGGGAATATTATATACTATATGTATATATATCCGTAGCTTAATCGAATCACCATGTGCAGCCTATATTTGTATGTACATATATAAGAAATCTAGCCCTTAACTAATCTGCCTATCGATAATTATCGAATTACACTTATACCATAGATATAGATCTAGAAAACTAGTTTTGACTTTTAGTTAGTATACAACCTTATATATGTATATTATACACATACGTGCTTAAAGAAATATACATAATTCGCATACTCATCAAATCGATAAGTCGATAGACATATTTCGAGTACTATACGATACACCAGAGACAGATCAATGCAGATCCATTATATGCCCTATCCTATTATAATATATCTCTATTTGCTCCCATTTACTCTACAGAGTATCTGCTGGCCGTGCAGACTCAACACTGGAGAGCAATCGCTTGTTTATTATGCTTTTCTTTTCTGCTGTGTTTTTCGTTTTCTGTTCTTTTATTTCGGCGTTTGCTTTTGCCTCGGGGTCCACAGATTTTCTTTATATGCCATGCATAAGTTTTATGCCATTTTGCGTAGCAGCAGTGCACGACTAACCGAAAACCGTTTCGATAACAGCTCGAAGGCATTTTATTTTATGGCCAACAGCCGGAGGTGGCAGTAGCCGCCCGGCCCTTCCACCGCCGCCGCCGCCGCCAACACCCCCGCCTCAACCGCCTCGAGCAGCGAGGAACAGCTGGCGACAAACACTTCTGCGCGTCTAACGGCAAACGACTTATTTCTTGGCACGAAGCGCAAAGACAACAAAAAAATGTATCTTTTTGGCTCAAAATTAAATGAAAACATATATGCTAAGCACACACACACACATAGCTAAACCACTTGGTGTTTGTCTTCTAAGAGAAAAATCTCCTAAAGTAACATAGATTTTCGCGACCAAGATGCAAAATTCAGCGAACAGCGGGACCGAGCGAAACGAAACGGAACGGCATGGGATTGGTATGAAACGCGTCAAGCAAATGAAAAATGCCAAAGACAACCGCAAAGCGAAGCGCATTTAATTTTAGATTTATAATGTACAGGGTGTCGACGCGTCGACGGCAGGTGGCAAAGCCAAACACAAGATAGAAGATGATTTAAATAAACGTAAGCCTAGCCAAGGCGCTCCTCCCGCTGCTCAGGGGATTCTGTTAGCCTTGAGTGTTACACTTGAGAGAAAACTGGGCAAACATTTAGCGAAAAGCGAAAAGGTTTTCAGATTGCATTTAGAGCCAAGACATGGCTATATTCTGGATTTAGCAGGTGTAACGAGTTATCCCTTTTATTGAGCTGCTAACTCAAAACTAGGCTAAAGGGTTAAGTTCTTTAAAATTGTGTATATGGTGTAGAAAATGTGGAACAGGATTTTCTTTAAGATCCCAGCTTGTAGCTGGCTTCGTTAAGATATTTTGGGTTATGTAAAGATAAGTTTCTAGATTCCCGATTAAAACTTAAAGCAATTAATAGATTCAGACTTATATATATAGATTTATTTATATATATATATATATATATATATAAAAATGAAATGTTTATAATATCTATATCTATATATTATAAAAATATTCTATAAAATAAATAAATTTTTTTTAGCAAAAATAATTATATATAGATTCTGTATAGCTCCACATGTTGACCCAATTTGAGTTATGGCGAGACCCAAATAACGATAGCGCCCTACTATCTTACAGACATAACTTTATCGAAGCTACATAGCTGTCAAAATTAAATACCTTTTGATGGATTTTGCATACAAAATGGGAAATTTTTGATTTGAGCAATTTTGTGTGGTAAAAAGAAGCATAGCCTTTCAATGTATGAAGTATTAGGTAACTATAACAAAGCAAATATATAAAAGATATAAAAGTATATTTAAATTTCTGAAAAAATTCAAATAATAAAACCCGATTTGAATTGCCTTATATATGTATGTATGACGTCTGCTGTCCATCTTGAATATGGAATGATTTAGTAACTAACTTTCTTCGCTTTCATATTGCCACCCTGTAATTTGTGTAGAGCAGAGACAGAGGGAACACCCCTTATGGGAGGCATCAGCGCCTCCGCAATAGCTCTGTCTCTGGCGACATGTTTCCTAGTCAACAACATTTTCGAATGTCTTCATATGTGTGTGTGTGTGATGTGTGGTGTATGCATGTGTAAGTGTCTTCTTCTTCTTCTACTTCTACTTTCTTTGTCTCTAGGCAATTCTTAATGATGCGCTCTCTCAACGCTCTCGGCCATCGCGTGGGTTATTTCACACTTTATGCGACATTTTTGAAATGCAACTAAAAATAAATATATTTTTAGAGCGCATTTTTACCTCAATTTTCCTCTGCTGTTGTTTTGCTTGATGAAAATTTTCCTCAAGTGCGTTTACTTTTCCAAATTTCAATTTCAATTGAAGCCACAAAATACTTTTCGATATTTTTGGCTGCTTACAATTAAATTAGCACCTTTTATTTTTTAATTATTTATTTTAATTAAATTTCTTTTTGTTTTTCTTTTCTTTTGTTTTTTGGTTGTTGTACCGTAACGCGTGCGCTTTGAATATTACTTTTGATATGAAATAGAAATTTTGTTTTAGTTTTCTTTTAGTTTTTAACACAATTTTAACGACAACTTTTAGCTCGCGCGTGTGTGTGTGTGTGCATGTGTGTTCGTTTGAGGGCGCTTTGCGGGGGCGGGGTCGGGTCTTCTAATCTGGCTCGTTTATCAACTCATCAAAGGGCAGTCAAAATGCCAACATGAGAATAAACTCAATTTCTATGCGCGCTGCATGCGAGCTGTCGCCATATCAAAGAGAGTGAGTGAGAGAGAGAGGGATAGAATGTGAGTAGAGGGGCACAGCTGCAAGAGGCAAAGGTAGAGTCGAGCGTAAAGGACGCTGCTCTTCAAGCGTAAGGGCTCTAATGTATGCCAGGCGTGTGTATATATGTGTGTGTGTGTGTGTGTGTGTCTACCGTACAGTAAAGTCGCTTTAAAGCAAATGCCGATGCAAGATTAAAGATTACAGATTTGTCACGAGCAATGACAGAAACAGCGATAAATTTACAAAGCCAAGTTAAAAGCTAAGGAAATGTTATCCATTAAAATGGCAGAACTTTTTTTTGCATTAAACTGACAAAAACAGTGGGAAATTTATGTGGAAATCAAAAACGTTATCAGCTGAAAATTTGTTATTCAGTGTGTGCAAGCAGAGCGCGACCTTGAATAGAATTTAAATTCCAGCAAATAATAAATGGTCCCGAAGGATGCGAGAGCCCTAATCGTCGAGCCTGCACTGTAACTGTGTTGTTTACGGGCGACAACTACGTTACGTATACGCAACGTGTGCAAATGGCATACACAAGGGAGCCAGTACGTGATGAGAGGGCAGAGAGGAAGAGCGAAAGAGAGAGAGGGAAGGATAACATAGAGTGGGGGAGACAGAGCGAGAGGGAGAGGGAGAGAGAGAGAGAGACTGGGGAGTAAGAAGAGAAGAGAGTAAGAAGAGAGCAAACCGTCGATGACTATTTGCAGTGTCCAAAGCAGGGGCAGTGGGGGGTGGGGGGTGGCCCTTAGGAGAAGAGCTCCTGCTCGTTGGGTATACACAAAAATTGTTTCAATTCTGTGCGACGACAACAGCGAATTGAAAACAAAAACAACAACAACAACAACAACAACGAGAACAGCGACACGGAATTTTGTGTGTCACGCATTAAAATTCGCTCCTGTTGGCCACGCCACTGGCCAGCGCTAGCTGCCAGTTATTGTTGTTGTTGTTTGTGTAGTGCCGTAATTTTATTTTATTCTGCTGAAAAATCGCTAACAGCCGCAACTGCAACAACAACAGCAGCAGCAGCAACAACAACAACAACAACAGCAGCGGCAGCAGCAGCAGCGGCAGCAGCTAGAGAACCAAAATCAAGTAGGTTCACACACTAGTTTCTAGCTGTATGTGTGTGTGTGTGTATTATGTACACAAGTATGTGTTAGCTCTGGCCGCTGATTTCTGTTTTTGTCGCTCGCCTGGGCCGAAATAGTAATTTTTTTTATTTTTATTTAGTACGCTTGTTCTTATTGCTGTTGTTGTTGTTGTTGTTGTTGCTGCTGTCGTTGACTTTTCGTCTGGCCTGTGCCTGGGGTCTGTGGCTAATGCTTTAAAAAAAATTATTTTTTATGGCTTTTTTGGCGAAAAAACGCAGTTTATATTTTTAAACACGACGCTTGTGTGGTAACTGTTGTTGTTGTTATTTTTGTTGCTGTTGTTGCAGCACAGAACGCACGAAAACTGGCACAAACACACACACACACATTCACACACGCACACAGAAGCATGCACGCTAAAATGTCGTCTAACGTACGAGTTGCTACTGCTACTAGCGGCTGCGACAGCTGCGGCGACTGCGACTGCGACGTTGACGTACACGTAGTAGTAGTTGGTTTTGTAGAACGTGAAAAACGTTGCGACTGCGAGACTTGGCGACGGCTAAATGACGACGGCGATAGTGTGTGTGGCAGAAGCAGAAGTGTTGCAATCACGACGGTAGAACAACGACTCAGCCAACACACGAGCGCAGCAAAGCAATCGACCAACTGGGCCCCCACAAAGCAGCGGCAGCGCCAGCAGCGACAGTGACTGCGACGCCAGCAGCGGTGTTCGTTTTACATTCGGCTGGCATTCGGCTGGATTGGCTGTTATGCTCGTTGCTGTTCGTTTTTGTGCTCTTGCGCTCCCTTTCCTTTTGGCGCTCTTTTCTTCTTATTTTATTTTTTTTTTTTTTTAACTCAACGTAACGAGGGATGCACTGCACGTGCGAGAGCATGCATGTGCGTGTTAGTGTGACTGTGTTTGTGTGTGAAAAAGATTACAATAAACACATTTTAGCGATATTACATATTTGGCCTATTTATTAAGCAGCAGCAGCAACAGCAACAACAAACGTTCTCTAGTCGCTTCCACTCGCGCGCCCACACTCTTTCGCTCACTCTCTCTTTAGTCTCATACGATTAGAGTTGTTGTTGACGCTGGCTGCGACGTTGACGTACGTGCGCGCTATGGCTGGCCAAGCAAACACAGTTATGTTTGACGGTGCTGCTGCTGCGTGCGTTCGCTTTTTTATTATTTAGCTTTTTTTTTTTGTATTTTTGATTCTTTGCTTATTGTGCAATGAGCCATGGCGACTTAATTGCTTTTCGTTTGGGCTTTTGGCTTCTACAATAACAACAACAACAAATGCCAGTTTTATTTTCTCTTTGCGCTACGCTGCACTTCAAATGCTTATTGTTGCTGCTGCTGCTGCTGCCGCCGCTGCTGCTGCTGTCGTTCTATCTGTCATGGCGGAGGCGCATAAATAACGGCGCTGATAAAAACTGGGCGAAGGGCGTGCTCACAAAACGTATGCACGTAATTATGGCCAGCGCTTTTATCAACTTTACGTAGTTTTTATTTTGTTTTACTTTTTTCTGTAAAGCTGCCGATTACATAAGCGCTGAAAATCTGCTTGGGAACGGCAGCTCACTGAATGGAGGTATGGACGTATGGAGGTGTGTGTGAGTGTGTGTTTGAAGTTGGAAAATTTGAATGTTTCAGCATATACACAGAGAGAAAAACAATCATGATAATTAAATTGAGTTCACTGATGCGTATACTTAACATTAAATTCAAAAGCATCGTCAACAGCCGCAGCAGCAGCAGCAACGACAGCGCGCGCAACAAAAGCTTCCTGCTGCTGCTGCTGCTGTACGTCGTCGTCGTCGTAGCCTTAAAAAAACAGTTTTTAAATTATAAAAAGAACCTTCAACTGACAGAGCGTAGACATCGCTGTTTGTGTGGGGGTGGGTGGATGGGGGCGCTCTTTCATTGGCAACAACAAAAATTATATAGGTTAACATTTTGCTTGTATCCCGCATGCTTTCTTGCAAGAGCAGGAGAGCAACATGCAAATATGTTGGCCGCACATATCCCGCTCTCACACCCAACAATATTTGTAATCACAAAAAATCAAAGCCACTTTTCGCTCTTAAGTGCAAAAATCAGCCAACCCCAAAGTGGCAGCACCGACGCTCTCTTTTGCTCTCTTCGCACAGCCCGAGTGACTGCGAAGAGCGTTCAAGAGAGCGAGCTTTGCCATGTGCGTGGGCGAAACACACAGGAAACAGTTCCTAGTTGAACTAGTAAACCAGCAACCTTAAATAGAGCAAACGTCGTCCTGCGTGCGTGTGTGTGTGTGTGTTGTTATATGCCTCTCTCCCTTGCTCTAGCTCCCTCTTCTGCCTGCCTGTATATTCGGGCACACTAGCCTGTTCACTCTTCCTGGTTGTTTATTATTGGGTAAGAAGGGTATCGTGTATGTTTGCACAAGTGTGTGTGCGTGTGTATGTGCAATAGTGGGAATAAGTGAAATGTGTTTAATTAAGTTAATTAATAAAAGAGAAACAAATAAAATACCATTAAAGGCAAATTACAAATAAATATATGTATGTGTTTATTTAAATTGCAAGCAAATATTTGTGTATAGAGCATATCGTAGTCGACTAGTCTTTAATTTATAAATTTGCTTAGTCGACAGTAAATGTAAAAAAACAGCTCGAAAGAATAAATCACAAATCAGCGACGAGCCTAACCTAGACGAAATCCCAACTGGGCCACGCCTCCCGTTCCCTCGCACCTCTTTGTCGTTCTCTATCCCTCTCTAGCGACGAGCACTGTTAAATGGACCGCGAAATGTAAGCGGCGCGTATCATGTGAAAGACGTTTTAATGGGTCAGCAGCCAAGCCAAGTAGCAGAGTCTAGGCAGTGTCGACCTTAAAACGCATTAGCAACAGTCGGATAAATTGTAATAATTTTATTAGCAAACATGAAAAGCGGACCCCGGGCGCCTAACTGGCCAGTTAAGTGTTTCGAAAGGTGCTGCCACCAGTTTAGAAGTTCACGAAATCCAATAAGAAAACGTAGCGCACAGACCGACCAAGCAAGCAAGCGAGCGAGAGTGAATGAGTGAGTGAGAGCGAGAGAGACGTGACAAGTGCAGGCGCGCTCAAGGTAAATGCGTCGCAGCCTCAGTCGACGTCGACGCGTCGCAGCAATGCAAGATCAACTGAGCCGACTGCCCAAAAAAAAAAAACGAACGAGTTAACGAAAGAGAGAAGAGAGCAAAGCAGAGCGAGCTCGAGTGAGCGCAGCCAAATGTCAAGCATAAGAAAAACCACGCGCGAATGACAATCAGACAGCAGCACACACACATACGCACCAATAGATGCAGAGTCAGATGCTGTTGGATGGTATAACGTCAAGTGTTGACTAATACCCGTTTTAGCCAGCAGAGTTTTAGAGCCAAGGCAAAGAACCTTTCCCACTCTCCCCTTTCTAGCGTTTGACATACTGACCCAATTCCTGGTTTCGATTTTCTGGTTTTTCTTACAAATACACGTTTTCCGCTGAATGCACATACACACACACATACATGCGCTGAAGCAAGCATACGAGGTGCGTGCTGGAAAAACGAGTTGCATGCATAGAATTTTCGCTAAACAACCAATTGCATTTATTCCCCCCAAAAATAAAAAAACAACAATAAAATAGAATAGTAAAAAAGCAAAATGAATGTTGCTTTTTCCCCGCCTAACCCACACTTACCGTTATACGCAGCTCTACGTTACGTCTTGTTGCTTGAAGAGAGATTCTTGTTGTCGTTGCATTCGCACGCACACAAACACAATGCCTGAAGGAGGACGCGTTTTAGATACGTTAGCTAGGTACGCAGTTCTTCCTTTCCTTTTGGGTTTTTACTTCTTTTATTACTCAATGCGTACGAAGAAAACGGTCTTGAAATTTGACGGATGCGCGACGGTTAACGGTTAACTGTTGTAGTTGTTACTGTAGTAGTAGTAGTAGTAGTTGCTGCTGCTGCTGTTAATGACGATGTTAATTGGTGGTTTTCGAGTATGATGTTGTTGTTTTGTCTTATGTTGCGTTCCGATTTGAGGTTGAAATTACACTATTTTATTTTTATTTTTATACTACTAGAGATCTTACTTCCTACGAATCACAATTACAAGTGAATATGAGAATTCCTTAAAAATAACTAAACTATCCCACATCCAAATGAAATTCTAAGCACCGACTACTGTATGTCCTCCAACAACAACAATAATAACAAAGCACATAACACTATCCTGAATGCGCTTCAACATTCATATTTCATATACCATACACACAGGCAGTTCACCAAAATCTCGGTGTGTGTATGTCTTTTGGTTGCAGCTCGTGCACCGCGTGTCGCCTACAAAAAAGTTACAGTTATCAGCGCACACAGGCAAATACTTTTCCGCACCGAAATTTTCATGTGACGTAACAAATTATTTGGTTGTTTTTAATTGATCTGAATTTTACTAATTACTTTAACTGCCCAACGGGCTTATTTTGATTGTGTGTAACGGTGATTTTTAATTCAAAATTGTGGCAAGGAATCGCAGCCACACACACGACACGGCACAGCACGGAATTATTTTTAACGTAAATAATGATTTGGTTGCTAGTGTTGGGTTGTACAACAGTGTGCGTGAGTGTTGGAAATTGTGGTCAACAGTAACAGATGGTGGTATTTGCTGTTAGAGACATTAGCAGATAATACGCTGTTTACATCATGTGCTTTTAAACATACAGAAAAATGGGGTTTATGCTGTATATATATTGTAAGTTAATTAAATATATTTTAATAGTGCTTTTACACTTTTTTCTCTAGTAGGTACCATACATAATAGGAGCGAAATTCCACCTGCACAATTATTCTGTTAAATAAAAGCGGGCAAACAGCTGACAGCTGTTGCTTGCAAATGCTGTTGTCTTCTGTTAGTATGCTCTTTTCTGCTGCTACACTTTTGATACCTAGTTCTGGCGAGAGTTAGCTGAAGATAACTGTATTTGTATATTCATTAATTTGTACAAAAAATTCTTAATTTAACTTTTCAAAAACCATCAAGGACTTTTTAAACCAAATTAACACATAATTTGATTTCTATATAACTGGCCATTAAGTTAGCGGGAATCCAGCCAAACTGCCAGCGTTGTTGCATTGAGAAAAGTTATGCAACTGTTAAATACGTTGATTGTTATACTTTAAATTAATGAGTTGTATAAATAAATTTTTGGTGAAAAAATAATCCATTTTGTCATAAAATGCTTTTTTACACATATTTTGAAATCGATATTTTAAGTTTATGTAAAAATACGGAATGTTAAACAACACCAGCGCTGTTAACCGATCAGCTGATTGTGAGCCATTGCAATACCAGACGCAGAAGTAGAAGAAGAAAGAAAACAACGCAATTAGCGAAAATTGGAGAGAACGCTTACAAATGCTTTAACTGGCTGCGATAAAGATTTGAAACAAATATGTCACTTGTTGATCATGACTCATGGTACGTATGAGAAATTCTTTATTTATATACATGTATGTTTATCGCCGACGTTTGCAGGGACATCGAGTTTGAAGGGTGCGAACGCCTGCGACATCAGCTGCTTGGCCTGCTGCACAAGCGCAGGCAGCTGGGCGGCGCCGTCGCCGATCCGGAATACGCAAAACTAACGAACAGCATTGATGTGAGTCGTGAGCAGCTGGCCAAGGATATGAAACATCTCAAGGTCGTTCTAGATAATGCCATCACTTGGGAGTCCTGTTCAGAGCATGAGCTGCAGCAGCGTCGCATCAACTTTGACAAGCTCAACTCAGACTTACGCAGTATAGATGCCACGATAAACAGCGACAGTGCACGCCCTTCAACCAGCTCCACTTCAGTCTGGCAGCAAATGGGCACAACCGCCGCTGCTGCTGCTCCGCCCTCAGATATTGCCAGCTTAAAGTTAACACAGGCTGCGATACTCGAGCAGCAGGATCGGGGACTGGAGGCGTTGTCGGCCACCCTTTCGCGACAGCGCCAGCTCGCCACCCAGGTCTACGAAGAGGTAGACGATCAGCATAATATACTGGACAATCTGGCCAACACCATGGATCGCGTGGAAGCGGGAGTGCAGCGAGAAACGCGCACCATTGGCCAGGTGACCAGAAGGGATAGCACCTGGGGCTATTGGCTGGTCATCATAATGCTCTTTGTGGCCATTCTCATTGTGGTGCTTGTCTAAGGGACAGGATACAACTATGTTGCGAATAGGAACTAGATATATATGTAGCTGTATGCATGGCTGATATATCTATAACCCATTTTGTATGCCTGCAAAGCATTTGCTAAGATGTTTGTTGAATGTATGCATAAGTATATACTTTATATATATATATGTATGTATTGGTTGAAATGCCCTTGCAGCATTCATTATATACTATTCCTATGTATATGTACATATACTATTTACATGTATGTCAATTTTGTTTATCTTTTACTCTTATTGAATCTGTCAAGTATATACCTATATGTATATATTTATATATATTGCTGATCTGTAACAACATTGAAGTATGTTTATTCGCAATGTAAGTTTCACCAAAATCAGTCAAATTCTAATCTATAGAATGATTTTATTTTCTATATATACATACTTGAAGATTTTACGTATTCTCTCACCAAAAAGTTACATCAAGTGCCTAAAATACATTGTATAAAATATATATTAATATTATATATGTTGTATATAGAAACTATCAGCTGAAAATAGCATTTCAAAAATATTTCATAATCGACTTGTACCATAATATATCGAAATATATATAATAAATTAAAAATGTATGTTTTGTTCTATATATTTTTCCAATTATATATCAGCTAAATCATACTTGATTTATCAGATGTAATATTAAATGTAGATCAAGTATCTATCATAGATATCAAACATATTCTCATATATCTAATAATATCAATATCAATAATAATATCAAATATCTAAATCTTAACTGCAAACCCTACATCATAAATTTATATAGCTACCGCAAGGGCATTTTTGACTTCGGCTAATAGAATTTCAATTTTAAGCCCTTGTTTATAAATAAAAAATTTGTATTATGAAGAATTGTTTAATAAACATATATAAAAAAGAAAGAAAGAAACTACAGTTTGTGCATAATCCAAATAGCATTCCAATATCTGATCTAGCTAAGCTAGATGATAAAGGACACATTTACATATATTATATACCACACATAAAACATTCTCTACTTTCGATATCGTGAATGACAACAGTTTTATTTCGTAATGTCTCCAGGCAGGGTATTTAAATTACATTTGTTTTGTTTACAAGATTAACTACTTAGGCCAAGTCGGAAGCGTAGGGCACATTGGCCAGATTGCCGATGGCACCGACCGAGAGCTTGGAGCCCGCCACCTTCTTGGCCGCCGCCTGCACCTGTTGCACTGAAACGGCATCGATGGCAGCCACCAAAGCATCGGCTTCCAGCACAGTTCGGGTGATGGCCGCCTGGCGAGCGATTTGCTTGCTCAATTCACCGTCGGATGAGTAGTTGGATAGAGCGCGTGCCTTCAGCACCGCCTTGCCACGAGCCACATCCTTGTCGGACACAGAGCCAGATTTCAGGGCGCGCACCAGGAATTCAACGGCTTTGCCAATATCTTTGCTGCCGGCAGAAGCGACAAAGCCAAAGACTCCGGCATCTGTGTAGGATTTGTTGATGGCTTGGTATGACACGGGTGCATCACCTGCGCAGCTGACGGCCTCGCCAAAGGCGCCGGCGGACTTGCCACGCTTGGTGGCAGCACCGCCGCCAACAGCCTGCCTCAAAATGGCAAATGCCAAAGCCTCGTTCTGGTTGGTAGCAACGCCACCTTCGCCGACAACGGCGACCACAGCGCGATCTCCGGCTGTGTCCTTGCGTGCATCTCCACCGTAGTAGCTATTGTTGCTCTTGATGGCGCCGCCGCCGCTGGGGAAAATCAGATTCTGGGCAAAACCAGAGAGCAGATTATTGTCCACGCCAACGCCCACAACGGCAGCAGTGCTGGGATTGAAGGTGCTGCCAACGAAGTGGAGCAAGCTCTCGCTTGAGATATTGCCCAGCTGGAAACGTGGGATGTAAATGGAGTTGCCCAGACCGGTGCGGAAGGCGGCCTTGTGTGCCAGCTCAATGGCGCGCTCCTACATTTGAAAAGTTATTGAATAGCATAAAGTCCCATATACTAGATGTATTTATATAAATACCTCTTTGGACACCGAATCCAACTGATTGTACAAGGTCTTGGCGTTATCCTTAAGTTCCCAGGGCTTGAAAGCGGGCTGCAGGAGATCCTGCAGATAGCGCAGACCGGTCTCCACATTATCGGCGGTCGTCTCAACGGTGTAGCCAACGAATTCGCGATCGCCCCAAGCGGTCAGGGTGCCGCCGACTTGTTGGATGTTTCGTGCAATGGCAAAGGCCGTCGATCTCTCGGTGCTCAAGGTGCCAGCCAGACGGAGCAAATGCGAAGCGCCCTGTGTGTCGTACGCCTCATAGCGTGAGCCGGCACTGCGAATTACATTATCAACCATAACAACGACAGCCTCTTTTTCGTAGGCGTGGCACTCACCGCAGCACGATGGAGACACGAGAAACGGGCACCGAGGCATCAGCTGTGGCCACCACCAGCTTGTTATCCAGCACGTTGACGGCGATGGGCGAGGTGTCGCCGACGAGGCGTGGGCAGGTCGCATAACCGCGTTTCTAACATAAACAACCAACAATTACAAACTTTTCGCTTTACGTAACACGGAACGCAAAAAATTTTTTGCATCGATCGAGATTTGTTGGTTAAGTGCAACAGCTCACATAATGCATAGAACTTACGGCAATTGAGCGCAACAGATGCGTCTTGCTAGCGTTGCAGGCCATTGCTTTTGTTTTCTTTTTGACTTATTTAACAAATTTTAATAACAATAAATCGCAGCGAGCGAGCGACTATTTTTTTCCACCCGTTCGTTCCCACAAGTTAGTGATGTGCGGCAGCAATGAGCTATCGATTTTTTAATTCATATATTCTAATGATGATTTTTCTAGAAAACATCGATTTGTTTATGGGCAAATATTGTTATATATGGTCATACTTTTCTGTTCAACATTTTTTATTAAACGTATTTTTTAGGGGTTTTTATTTTAATTACAAAATTTGCTGGTAGCTTAAACTATCATTTCCAAGTCGCGCGCGTAACTAAGCACCTGTTCGGCCAACTCCACCGAGGGCAATAGCTCCTTGGGCTTAATGCTGCGATCGATGAAACTGTAATTTCCATTGCTTTCCAATTTCCATTGACGTTTCTCGCCGAACGCTTTGATTTCATCCGGCACACGCAGATTGAGCCGTTTCGCAGCATCTTTAGCCGAAATCTTCTCGTAGGACATCTCAATGCAGGCGCCGATTTCATCCCGCACCGTCTCGACCAATAAATCCATGAAATGGTTGTAGATTTCGGCAGGCATTGAGGATTTCGCCTGGAAGATCTTATTGTAGCGACCTTCCATGATATATTGTTCCAGTGCCAGAATAGGACGAATGTATTGATTGTGCTGTATTATGTCAACCGACAGGAGCTCCAGTTCAGTATGGAAGTCGGACACACGATTGCCGGACAGCAGATAGAGAAGATTGAGGCCCAACAATTTGTATTTGCTGTCCGATTCACCAATTATTTTGGCATAGTCGTAATAGTAGCATTTCAGCTGTGCCATGTACCGTTCGAACGCGAGTAGATCCTTGGTCAGTACACTATGCTCCACAGCGATTTCCAACACGGCGCGTGCCAACAAAAGTTGCTTCTTCGAGTTCTGTGCATCTTTGCCGTCTGTGGGCAGAAATTGCATTTTGACCAACGCCACTTTGAGCTGATCCAACAGCTGGCCGCATCGCGGTGTGTTTGGTGGTCGCTTGGACCATTCAGCACAGAGTTCCTTGTACAACGATTCCACTGCAGCCATTATTCTTTATTATTTGGATTTATTATTCGAAACAAAACACAAAGTTGTGAGCTGAGAATGATTTTCGCTTTTGCTCTGCTTCTTTTTCTGTTGCTATTCACAGAGAGGGCAATGTTAATGCTATGGCAACTCTGTTATCATCGATATCTAACACAATATATCGATGAGATTAATGGCATTTCGCGTTTCGAATTGTCACAATACATTCAATTGAATCTCCGCACAAAAATTGAATTGCAAATGTCTGACGAACAACTTATTTGGGAGGATAGCCTATTAATAAAGGCCTACGATGACTCCATAAACTTGGCGCGTGAAACGCTCGCCCGTCGCATTGCCGACTCAACCAACACGCGTGAGGCAAATGGACCCGAAAAAAAAGAAGCAGCCTCAACTTCAGATGTCGATTTGGAACCGCAGGAAGATGCCGAGGAGCAGGAGCCAGTTTTCAAAGTTGGTGATTTCGCTCGTGCCACATATACTGATGGGCTGGACTACGAGGGTACCGTGATATCAATCAATGAGATTGCGGGCACCTGCGTTCTACGCTATGTTGGCTATGAAAACGAACAAGAGGTACTCCTGGCTGATCTATTGCCCAGTTGGGGCAATAGGGCGCGTCGCGATCAAATTCTCTATTCTAAGCGTGCTGAGCCCGAGGAAGCGCAGCCAGAGCAGCGTGCCAAGGCTTCCAAGAAGTCTGGGTCGAAGAGCAAGGGTTCATCGAGTGGCAAGGGCTCATCGAGTGGACGAATGGGTGGACCTGGTTTGGTGATGCCACCAATGCCACTTGTTCCGCCCATGTTCTCGCCCTCTGGCGGCATGAATGGTGAACCAGAACAGGACTTTGTCGCCATGTTGACTGCTTGGTACATGTCTGGCTACTATACAGGCCTCTATCAGGGCAGAAAGGAGATCAATGCGAAGAAGAAGACGCCCAAGAAGTAATTTCCTATGTAATTTGAAAGACTCTGTTGTAGGCAATAAGACTTAAATAATAACAATACAATAAGTATTAATTAAAGTATATGTGTATTATTTTCAAGCTGAATATCGATCCTACATTGAGCTTGATTTCAGCTTCCACGCGGCCGTGGTTGCCACCTTACAAAATCGACTTGTACCATGGAAATGTACCAAACGCATATAATTGGAACAAATATTGCATAAATTTGTGTAAAAATGACCAAAATGTGTATTTTACTATCTTAATGTTGGACATTGTTGATAAAAACCAAAATATCAACGTTACCTTGGTACTAATGTCAGCGATTATTATATTACATTTGTACCACGTGCAGGAGAATATTTACAGCTTGATTGATTTGTCGATTACTTAGGACACCCGATATTTTAAGCTATCGTTGGCTGTCTCTCAACCAAAATGGACGAAACACGATGGACGCGTAAGAATTATAAATTATAAATTTGTTTTCTAATTAATATGGTAAATATAAAATATAAATTGGATTCTTATAGCACGACTGGTAAACTGTGGCATCGAGTACCAGCCCATTGCGGTGCAGTATAGAAATGCGCGCAGGTTTTTCAATTGCCGACAGTACGACAGTGGACCCGGCTTGAACTGGGTCGAAATTGTCGTCCATCACGAGGGGACACTCAATTTTACAGCTAATCCCAAGGACCTGATATTGAATGCTATCTATGAGGCGGTGGAGAATGAATCTTTCTATCCCGTTAACTATCAAGTATGTTGGATCTGTATTTATTTTATTCAGTTTCTAATTTACTTTGCGCTAACTGCAGAGTGGTCAAGTGGCTGACACCTTTCTTGTACGCGCCTGTAAGCCGGCATTGGATCAGTTATTCAAGCGCAGCTTAACTCTTCGCCTCATTAATGGCGCCATGATCCCCATGGCCGTGTGGTTCAATGTGGCTAGTCATCAGAGGGATCACATTTCCCCTCCACTGATCATATCCCAGGTAAAGTATAAGTATAGTAGCTCACAATTGCATCTTAATACGTTCTCTCTTTCTGCAGGTAACCGATCGTCTCTTAAATCGCCTGGAGAACCATCGTGGCGTGGAGAACGTTTTGAACCTGAGCAAGTTTAGCAGTCATCCAGCGTTCAAATATATTGAGGTCAAATTGAAAAATTCATTCACCTTCCATCTGGTCTGCTCGACCATACACAACAATGACGATCGTCGTCGTACCATAAAGGGATTCAATTTATCCCAAAATGAACTCACTGATCTTTCACCCATGCGACTCTTTGGCGATTTTGACTATGAATTGTTGGATATAACGGGAAATTCGGTGGGTAGTTTGATAATCATAGATAACTAACTTGGACTAATGTTTCTCAATTGCAGATCCAATCCTCTAAGCGCCTTTGCAGCGATCTAGAGCGTGTGAGAGCAAAGCACCTCTATTTGGCAAATAATCCTTTAACCAAATCCAATAAGTTTCCCGATTGCCTAAGCCCTCTGATTAACAATTTTAAGTTTGTGGTAAGGCGAAAGACGAAATGAGATCTTACTTTCACATCATTATCGAGTATTATCTAATATCTGATTACTATATTCTATTAGGATGGGGTACCATTTGATAAGCTCCACAAGCTATATTCGCCGCTCAACTATGAGATTGACATGGAGTGCGACGGGGTGCGCATCGACTGGACCAACAAGTCAACGCTATTAAAGTTCAAGGATAGCAAGTATTGGCATGCCTTTCTGGTAGAGTATATATATATAAGGAATGCCAGATAACACAATTATAATAAACCCCATTATCATAGATTCCCGATGCTGATCACAAGTTCAACAAAGAGGACCTGTTTAATTTTTTCTTTGTAATGGTTTCGCCTGAATTGAGTGAATTTTATCCATGTTACTACAAGGTGAGCTGGAGGAGCTGTCAAGGATGTTCCAGGATCCTAAAGATATCCCAAATCTTTTCGACCATCTTGAACTGCAAACTTGTACTCACGTTGCTTTCCATTTTCCCAGTTTGAATATAACCAACATCGATTTCTGGTGCGGGAGTGCTTCGATCAAATTGAGCACTTGGTCAACAATTGCAATCTTGAAATGAAAATTCCTCAGATCACGTCAGATGAGCAGGAGCTCACATATCAGAACTCCGTACCCTATTATCTGCGCATGAATGTGACCGCCATGAAGCAAGGACATTTGCAGCCGAAGAAATGCATTGAGCAGGCTTTGCAGCAGCGCTTCGCTGCTACCAATCGTGTGCTGAATCTGGAGGACTTTCAAAGCTCAGAACAATTGGAGAATGTCATCGTTAGCTTAAGCTCGCCGCGCATCCTTAGCACCGTCCTGCGAATGGCATCGCGCAAATTCCTAGGCAACTGCATTGAATTGCGTTTGGGCAACAATAAGATTTTGGGCCTCAATTTGCGCACCTTATCGTTGCTGAATGGCCTGCTGGCTTTGGATCTTTCTATGAATTGGATCTATGATCTGTCGATGCTAACTGCGTTGAACGAGATTCCATTGAGGTCCTTGCGATTGCACGGCAATCCTTTGTGCAAGAAATACGTTTTGCCAAGTGAGTACATTCGGGATGTGAAGAAGGTATGTCCGGGTCTCTTGCGACTGGATGATGTGGACTTGAGCACAAAGCCGGGCTTGACACCCCAGAAGGATTTCCTCTGCGACACAGCTGGCTATGAGCTGGTGGGCGAAGATTTTTTATGTCCCTATATGCAGGACTTTGAGCTATTGGATACGCGCTTTGATCTACGCCGCTTCTACTCTGAAGAGTCGATTTTCACGCTGACTTGCAGCTATGACATCCGCCGTGCCCATCCCACAAAGCCGACGAACGAGCTGTGCAAGCGCATCAACAAATACAATTACTTCAGCAGGAATCTGCTCAAGAATTCGATGGACACGTGCCGCGTGCATTTGGGCGAACATGATATAATGCAGACTCTGATGCAGCTGCCAGAGGTAAAGCATGACTACATCTCGATGCAAACGGATGTGATGCACCACGATGAACAAGGCGCCATGGTCTATGTGACTGGCGTACTGCTCGATGGGCCGGACTTGTTGCTCGCCTTCAGCAGGCAGTTCGTGCTCAGAGTGAAGGAGACTGAGTGTGTAAGTGGAAATAGTTGCAATAGTTACTCTGGGCGGCTCTCGACTTTTAACTCATTTACAGGGCATCGGCGGAGGAGGTCAGGTCATGATTATTGCCAACGAGCGTCTCAACATTATGAATCCGACGCCAAAGCAGGAGCGAGATGCCTTCAAGGTTGTCAAGCCCCGCGAGTTGGAGCCAGAGCCTGATGACTCTTTGGAGGTCAAGGAGCACAAGCTGCATATCCTTCAGGAAATAACTGGACTGCGCCCCAAGTGGTGCACCCGTATCCTGCAAGAGGAGGCCGATTGGGACATGCGATCGGCGCTCAAACAGTTCGTTAAATTGGACGAGCAAAATAAGTTGCCAGACGAAGCATTTACTTAAGGAGCTGGGAATTTTAATTGAATAACGGATTCCTTATCTGCATTTATGACGCAGGCGCAGCTCAAGTGCGTCGAATCAAATTTCAGAGAAATTTGACGATATCAGCAACTGCGCTCGCAAAAACACTCAAAAAACTTTTAGACTCAAGAGCCAACAAATCAAATAACTGTTACCAAAATTAATCTCTGTGATTAGCAGAAATACCAAAAAGTTCTACTAATACCTGTACTTATTAATTACTTATCAAAGTACACTATAAAAATTATATTTTCCCAACTTTTGTATTATCGTAAATTTTATAATATTGCTGAGCAAGGATTAACTGCAATTGCTCGCTCTCTGCTTGCGCTCTCTTCGCTGCTCAGGCACTGCTGTGCTGTCTACACTCTGCTGCTGCTGCGCTCTGTTCTCTCACTCTCTTTCTCACTCTGTTGCTGCTGCGCTTTTTGATGCTCGATGTGCATTGCTCTGCTGCCGCTGCTCTGCTGCAGCTCTGGTGGTGGCTCTCACGATATTCGTGTTGTGCTCTGCTCTTGCCTTTCAACTGTTCCGCTACGAGCTCTGCTGCTAGCAGAGTTGCGCTCTCACACGTCGTGCTTTGCTATAAATGCTCGTGCCTTACGCTGTTTCGTTTCAGTTCCATTCGAGACGCGTTCGTGTGCGGTTGAGTTGCGTTACGTTACGCTGCCCGTTTGACTGTTTAACCGCTTTGTGTGAAACGGTTGAGAAATCAAATTAATATACGCGCTGCCGCCGAGTGCATTTCAAATATTTACGTATATATAGGTCTGTTGTTAACGTTGCCATTTTAGAAATTTATTCATTAATAAAACCAAATATAAATAGCAAGTGCACAAGTGCCCCATTAATTATTAAACACAACAAAAACAAAGAACAAGAATTCGAATACCATTTGTTTATGTGCGAGAAAACCTGTTTGTCGTCAAATATTAATAATAGTCTAATATTAGTTATATAACAGACTCGATACGCCTTAGACTCTCGCATCGACACGACATTTGATTTGACTAACAACAACAACAACAACAACCACAACAACAATGAAATCAACATTGTAATTTTTGTCTCGACTTTTTGATGAGCTCAACAAAATGCTCAACCGAATTCCCGGCTAATTTTCTTGTGAGCCACCTTTTTGCATATGAATGAAAAATCGCTGAAATTTGATTTAGAAGGCGTGGCGGGGCGGGGGGCACGACATAAATCAAGTCTTTGGTAACATTTTGTTTTGGTTTTTTTGTGTGTTGTTCTTCTGCTGCTTCTTCACGCAGCGTGTGATTTTTTACCCTAGCCAAAGGTATTTTAACTAAGTCGTAAAGTATGTCAAATATTTGGTACTCTACAGAGTTTGTAATTATATATGGAAGAGTTGCTCGAGCATTGGAGTTGTTGCAGCCATGTCTAACTGTGTTTGTTGTTACCTTGTTATTTTCTGTCTCAAAGATTTATAGCCACAATTAAATTTGATGTCAAGCCGGGGAAAGCTGTGCTAGTTCCTATTATTTATTCAAGTGTGATGTGACAATTTAGCAAATATTTATATTATATTTAATTGTTGTACGAAGAAAACTTTGCTCATTTCAAATACTTTACGAAGTGATATTAAACTTGGTTATAATATTGAATTTTCGGATATAGTTTCTTAGCTTGGATATAGTTTCATTACAATAGATCTTATATTTCCATATATTTAGCACTTTCTTCAATTAATAGCACAAGCCTTTGTTCTAGACTGATTCGCAAATATAATTATTTACCATATTCCTATCTTATCTCTATGCAGTGTATTGCATTTTCGTTTAATTCTTGCAGATCTCTCAACTCTTTTGTCTTTTAAACGATTTCCGCTGGAAAGAGTTGTTTATCGGCCATTAGCCTAGGTTTACTGAACTCTCCTCTAGGCAGCCGAAATTGCGGGGCTTGGTTAAACAGTTGGTAAAACGGCTCAAACCTCTCGCTGACTCAGTTTACTCTCTCTCCCTCTCTCTCTCTCTCTCTCTCTCTCTCTCTCTCTCTCTCTC